GTCCCCATGTTTGGTCCCCCCTCTGTTGGGGTACCTAACACACAGATCTGGTACTAAAAGGTGGAGCTGTGAACACTGCAGTCTGATTGGTCAGTAGAGGACGGTCACTCTGCTCAGGGCTGAGTTGTGTCTGGTTTTGAGGCTCATGTAACCACTGTTCATACTGTGGAGAGTTTTATTAGTAAACTGTAACTATAAAATGAAAGGATGTTTTGCTGCCTCTCACAGCAGCTGGAGTCTGAGAAAAAACAATTTAATTCACTGGGCCGACTGCCGGCAACTTTTAAGGTGGAACATTGGAGCTTGTGATGTTGCTCAGTGCATGAGTTGATGACGTGAATCCATCAACACACCTTAAAATTCTGTGACAATTTTGACCATCACTTTAGTTTTTATATGACAAACAATTTTAGTAACGAGTGGATCTTCAAGCGTTTATATAAATTAATTTTGGCCAGGTTATGTGAACTGCATCTTCTAATCCTCACTTGGAAGGGGAAAAAAAAGCATGGTGGAGCTTTGTTCCTGTGGGGAACACTAAACCCCTGAGCTTGCCTGAGAAGGACTAAATGCACAAACCCAGTATTTTTAAATATCCCATGGAGAGAGACTCTCACTGCAGCCTGCTCTATTTTGTTCTGAAAATGTCAGCGCGCAGCCTCATTCTGTGGACGATAAACCAGGTGCAGACTGATAAAGGAAGAAATACAGTGAGTGCTGGACGGAGCAGTGAGTGACAACAACCCCGCCCACGTTTAAGAAGACTGTTTGTGGTGGAAACACTAGGGTCTAGGTACCATGTCTGAAGGGTTACTGTTGGTTCCAAAGGTACCATACGGAAAGTGCTCGGTGGAAACGGGGCTTAAATGATACAGACTCAGGTGTTGTCAGCATGCTGTCTGCTGACAGTTTGTAACCGACTTAGCCAGTGGACTTCACTACAAGCCAACTGGCTGTTAAAGCAGTTGACATTGCTCATAAAACCAGCCACTGTCTCAGATTAGCCGGTCCGAGTCGAGCTGAAACAGGTCAGCTCACGCCTCTCTAACGTACTGAAACAGTTTCCTCTGGTTGTGAATCTTTGGTCTGAACTGAGCTTTATCGTTTCCTTCAGCCAGGCTTTGTTGAGTTAATTAAGACATTTCTGCTTCTTCTACCAGGTGTGCCGTGATCACAAGTATCCCACCAGGTGCTACTCGTGGATTCGAGTGTAATGGGATGGAAGGCCGCTATGTTAACATATTTATCCCTGGAAGACCGGAGTACCTCTCCCTGTGTGAGGTGGAGGTCTATGGCTCTTTACTGGATTCACTTTAAAAGAGCAAGAATGAAGCCAGTGTTGTTATATGTACTCAGACAAACCAAAATAATACATTTAGCTTCAACTGGATTGTTTGCATGAACAATAACCAGTCACATTGTGTGCAACATGGAGCTAAGTTTGTCCTAGACAATAGCAATATGGCATTAGTCAGATAAACTGGCTCTTACATGATCTCTGGTAAACCAGTTTGAATCATGTTTGAATTAAGCTTACTATAATAAAAACATTATCACAGCAGCCTACGTGTGTTTCATAATTGATCTGTTCTCTAATGCTGTTTTAGACTGCTCTTTAATGCTGAACTTGTGATTGTACTGTCACTGCCTGCTGCTGTGTCTGTGTCTCTGAAATAGAATTAAATCATTAAAAGAGCCTTACATGTTGGTCTGGATCAAAACACACTTGATTAAACTTAAACACAAATAAAGAATGTGGAGTTACAGAAGAATCATGTTTTCAGTTTTTTAACTTGTGTCTTTATTTGGGCTGCCCCCTGATAGTCGTACTAAGGTCATTAGTCGGTAAGATTTCACTGGTTGCTTAGTTACAGGAAAAGAAAAAGTGAAACTGTAACTGAGCTGCACCTCGTCAAAATAAATCAAAATATCAAAATATTAAGTCTGATAAATACGGAACAGTTGATCATGTTAGCCAGAGCTTTACATCTGTCCCACAGACGATAGGCCTACACACTTATAAACAGCTCCTGGAAGAAGATCAGCTCTGCACTCAGGATTTCAGGTAAATAGGCTATATGATGCATGTTAAGGTTACTTAGCAACCTCAGACGCAACCTGCCACCGCGCTCTTGAAAGCTGGCACAGAAAAGGCACAAGAGTAACGCATACAACCGACCTCCCATTTTCTAGGTGTTAAAGACCCAGCATGTGTACGGCCTCTAATTTCCAGGGCTGGTACCTGCGGTTATTCCACAGGCTAGTTAATAACATGTTGGGCAGGAAATCCAAAGTGTGGGATCATTCTGAGAAGGTGAAGGACGAACCCAAGGTGATATGTAAACTCATCTTCATTGGTCGACTACAAACATGACGTATCAGCTGAAACATGGAAGTAGCTACATGCCCATTAGCCCACAGCGTCATTAACAGGCGGCTCGCTCAGTGTGTGACGTGCACTTGGAGATAAAATATAGGCCTATTATAGGAGCCAAATATGTTATTGGGAGGTTTGCTTTAACTGTGTAATTCACTGTGTCGGCAGTGCCGGGTAAACTCTGTAATTAGTGATGTCACATATTTCCCCATTTCACAGAAATATTGGCGTTTGGGAAATTGGAGAGAAGTGTGCGGCACTGGTGTCATTGATTTGCCTCTTAAATAGTCGAAGCCTAACAACAAATGATTTCATGTGGGCATATATTTGCGACATCAGCCCATCTTTTCCTTCCAAGCTTTTGTCCAACATGTTCAGATGGCACAAAAGATCAACTGAAGAAACAGAAGAAGGTCTGCCAACCACTGAGGGTTTCTCAGTTCAACAAGGCTGTTTCTTTTCTCTTTCAAAAAACAGTCAGATTCAGATCTTAGAGAACAGAACTGCTCCAGAACTGTACCACCACTACGCCAGTGCACGTCTGAGCATATAGGCACCTTTTTATGTTTCCGCCTGTGGGTGCTTGAAACAGCTGAATGCTCAATCCCACACCCAAGATAATCATTCTGCATTAACCACTGCCAACATGACTTGTTGCTTTACGGATCTGGAACAAAGTATTCAGACGCATGCATTTAGGCACCACAGGAAATTAACAGCAATGAACAACACAAAATATTTACAGATCAAAAGTTTAAAGGACCAATGATTAGGATTTAGCAGCATCTAGCAGTGAGGTACCAGACGGAAACCAACTGAATACCCCTCTGCTCTTTTTGAGTGTGTCAGGGAACCTAAGGTGGTCATCAGGTACTGTGAAACGTGAAAGGCCCTCTCCAGAGCCAGTGTTTGGGCTACTTTAGAAATGTGGTGCAACATGACAGGCTTGGTGGAAGAGGATCCGTGCCTTATGTAGATATGAAGGGGTGATTAAATGCTAAAGAAAACCATTCACCATAGTAGGCTACACCCATAACTCACTATAACACTATAGATTACAAAAGGGCCTGCCCATTAACAAACCAAACTTATAATAGGCTATCTTACGTCGTTACACAAGAAAGCATACAAGTGCACACAGTAAAATACAGTCAAATAACCATTAACGCAGGCCCACATATATTAGGCCTCATTCACCAATATATTCACAAATTTTTCTTAAATTTGGTTTTAAGATATGTCCTACAAAAAGTTCATGACATGCTCTTAAATGGCGCAATAGTTGCGTTTGCACCTCTGTTCTTATGGTTTTGAATTCCTTTGAATTGTCCTTCTAAGTCTAAGGTGCATTCAAGCTGATCATAATTAGCATCGGTAAACGCCTGGCAAATCTCCATTAAAGGGCATGAGACTGCAGGGCTGTGTGCACACACAGGCTGAAGATTAACTAAAGTTAAGATAATTAATGCCCAACTCAAAATCTGAAGAGGATGGAGGACTGGGGCCTGTATCACGAAGCGAGATCAACCTTTCCTGGGTTACCCAGACCTATCCTGGGTTGACTAACCCTAACAATGGCAATCAGGATAATCTGTATCATGATGCTGGATATCAACTCTGTAACTCAACCCAGTGTTGCTTTATCAAGATCCGTGAACGCGCATGCAGTTGACCAATCACAATCATGAGAGAAGCGCAGCGTCACTGAGCGTCACTGAGCGTCCTCACAGAGCGCTGTATGTGAGGGAAAAAAGGTATTTCTCGTGAGGATCAGAGATTAATTCTACTAAAATATGAGGAGGAGAAAAGCAACTTTACAGAAAAGGACAACACCGTGGCAGCTGCAGGAGAAGGAAACATGCGTGGCAACGCATAACGGGATGAATAATATTTAGCTTTAGTTTAGATTAGTTTATTTTCACATAATGTTAAAAACAGACAGTATAAAATTTACAAGATTAAAAAAAGAAAAGTGCCAGAGAGGTTAGAAGCCACTAAAAGCTTATCAAAGAAATTCCCCTGTCAAAACATCAATGAAATCACATAATAGAGGAGAAAAAAAACAGGTCAGGAAAGAAGAAATAGAGGAGGAGAGAGGGAAAAATCAAGACAAAACAAGGTAGCAAATAAAATTATGTGTAGGTTAAATTACTCATCACTGGTTCAAGTGGCTACAGTACCTGTACCTGTACATCTGACACTGATCACACCCTTGAATCCCATGAAATCAATGCTGCGCAGATGAATTGCGTGTATTACAATTATCGTCTAACATCATTGCGTCTGATAAATTGGTCTTCTTTGTCATAACGTTATACAGTCAGGTCCATAATTATTTGGACAATGATACACTTGTCATCATTTTGGCTCTGTACACCACCACAATGGGTTTTAAATGAAACAATGAATACCTGCTTAAAGTGCAGACTCTCAGCTTTCATTTAAGACTTTTTTCAAAAATGTAGTATGAACCGTGTAGGAATTACAACCATTTCTTCACACAGTCCCCCAACTTTAAGGGCTCATAAGTATTTGGACAAACTAACATAATCATCAATTAAACAGCCAGTTTTAATACTTGGTTGCAAATCCTTTACAGTCAATGACTGCCTGAAGTGTTGGACACATAGACATCACCAGATGCTGGGTTTCTTCCCTGGTGATGCTCTGCCAGCCCTTTACTGCAGCCGTCTGCACTTCCTGCTTGTGTTTTGGGTGTTTTGCCCTCAGTTTTAGCTTCAGCAAGAGAAACGCATGCTCATTTGGATTCAGGTCAGATGATATGACTTGGCCATTGCAGAACATTCCACTTCTTTGCCTTAAAAATGTCTTTGGTTGCTTTTGCAGTATGCTTCAGGTCAATGTCCATCTGCACTGTGAAGCATCGTCCAATGAGTTTTGAAGCATTTGGTTGAATCTGAGCAGATAATGTAGCCCCAAACACTTCAGCTTTCATCTTGCTGCTCTTGTCAGCAGTCACATCATCAATAAATACAAGAGAACCAGTTCCACTGGCAGCCATACATGGCCATGACATAACAGTACCTCCACCATGCTTCACTGATGAGGTGGTGAGCTTTGGATCATGAGCAGTTCCTTCCCTTCTTCCTTCTCTTCTCTTCCCATCATTCTGGTAGTTGATCTTTGTTTTATCTGTCCATAGTATGCTGTTCCACAACTGTACAGGCTTTTTAGATGGTTTTTGACAAACTCTAATCTGGACTTCCATTTTTAAGGCTAACCAATGGTTTGCATCTTGTGATAAACCCTCGGTATTTATTCTAGTGAAGTCTTGTCTTGCTTACAAGAGCAGCAGGATGAAAGCTGAAGTGTTTGGGGCACCATTATCTGCTCAGATTCAACCAAATGCTTCAAAACTCATTGGACGATGCTTCAGTGCAGTTGGACAATGACCTGAAGCATACTGCAAAAGCAACCAAAGACATTTTTAAGGCAAAGAAGTGGAATGTTCTGCAATGGCCAAGTCATATCATCTGACCTGAATCCAACTGAGCATGCGTTTCTCTTGCTGAAGCCAAAACTGAGGGCAAAACACCCAGAACACAAGCAGGAAGTGCAGACGGCTGCAGTAAAGGGCTGGCAGAGCATCACCAGGGAAGAAACCCAGCATCTGATGATGCCTATGTGTCCAACACTTCATGCAGTCATTGACTGTAAAGGATTTGCAACCAAGTATTAAAACTGACTGTTTAATTGATGATTATGTTAGTTTGTCCAAATACTTATGAGCCCTTAAAGTTGGGGGACTGTGTGAAGAAATGGTTGTAATTCCTACATGGTTCATACTACATTTTTGAAAAAAGCCTTAAATGAAAGCTGAGAGTCTGCACTTTAAGCAGGTATTCATTGTTTCATTTAAAACCCACTGTGGTGGTGTACAGAGCCAAAATGATGACAAGTGTATCATTGTCCAAATAATTATGGACCTGACTGTATATGCTACAATAAAGCTTAAAGCTGACGCCACAATTAAATCATATCAACACCAAACTGATAGTCTGAATAAAATCATCCTGATACTGAGCTGTGTTAGAAATTAACAGCTGCGCAAAAATATACCTAGTCTCCCTCTTTAAAAAACAAAAAGGAAAAACCCTCAAACACCATGAAGTGTAGACATGATAGGCTACTTTCCACACTTCCAGCAGCAAAGCTGTCAATTAGGCCCATTATCTTTAACAGGGATCATTTCCTCCAACAAAACAAAATGTTGGCACTAATATATTAAGTGTCCGCAAATGATCAGTTTCTTTCTTATGAAGGGGTGGGATGAAATTTCGACTTCTTTCCACTCCTTAGTGAACAATCTTTTCATTGTCTGTTGTTGTTGCTTTCTTTTATTTTTTAATGTTCAAAATAAACTTTAAAATCAAAATCAATCAAATGAATTAAACTTCCTGTCATGACTGGGCTGCATTTCTGTCAGCAGTCATTTTTTTCCAAACAGCTGATTGGCCAGTGGGTGGTGCTTTTTATAGGATCAGATTCAACCCTGAACTTACCCTGCTCCAGAGCAGGATAGCCGTTCAGAGTAAGTTACCATGGTGATCTATCCCGATAAGTACTGAACTGGCTTCGTGAGACCGAAAACCCAGGGTTAACACTGAAGTTACCTCGCTAAGACATTAATCCTGCTTCGTGATACAGGCCCCTGGACTCCAAAGATTAAAAATAAAAAACAATCTCCTGTTTTGAAGTAGTGGTACCTTTGCAGCAGGTGAAAATCGACAGAAACTGAAGAAAGAAAAGGAGAAGGAAGCAAGAGGGAAGAAGGAGAAACCGGGGGAGAGAAAAAAGACAAGCAGGAGAGGAAGAAGAGGAGATTGGAGTAGCATCCTTTCTGTCCTCCTTACTTGCCTCCACTTCACCCCAATACCCTCTCCGCAACCCCTTACCCCGCATCTATCCTTTCTCCATCCTCTTACAGGGCGACATGGTGGAGTCTGCATGTTCTCCCCATGTCAGTTTGGGTTTTCCCCACGCTCTTCAGTTTCCTCCCTTACTCCAAAGACATGCAGATTTTAATATTTAAGATTCCTTTGGGTTTTCTCCAGGTGCTCTGATTCTCCCTTCTCCCAAACAAGCAAAATTGGAAAAACAAAATCTCTGATCTTTCCATTTGTCTTTTTAAATCGATACAATAAAAATGTACCCTCACCATGACAAGTTGACAGCAAAGGTTTCACTAATTTACCTTATATGATTTTCTGTAAAACGACTTTAAATTTCCATCTTAATATAATATGAAGTGATTCTTGAATCTAAAGGCTTTACTGCAGCTGGTGCCTTTCATATAGCAGGGGCATTCTCCTCTCCATTGATTTACAACTCCAATTCCAAAAAGAGTTGGGACGCTGATTGCAAATCTTCCTTGACATATAGTTAATAGGTAACAGGTATCATTACTGGATATAGAGTGCTCCAGGGATGACATTTCTCTGGAGGCTGATGCAGAATTAAACATTGCTCTGGTTCTCGTCAAAAAGCCTGTGGTAGATTAAAAACCATAGTAAGCTCTGTGGCGAACAAACATTTATGACATTAGGATGACGGTATGAGATTTTCACGAAATGATAACTCTCAGAAAATATAGCAGATTCACAGTATCATGGTATTACAAAATTAATATTACTAGTCCATACCCATTGGTAGCTCTGTCGCCTTCTACCTATGCCAATCCTCAATGCCTATGTGCAGTTTCACATAGATTGACCACGTCAGTGAGTAGAGAAACGTGGGACAGACAGAATGACTGACTGACAGAATGACACACTGACAGTTTTCTTGATTATGTACAACATACCATACCATGACTTAGTCATACCAAAAATTAGAAAAAACCCCACAATCATTCGGTCACAGGGGGAGCCACAGCGATCGGTCGCATTTTAGCCATTTTTAAGCATTTTTCTGTTGTTATAGCGCCACCCAGTTGCCAATTAGAGTTAAATTTCTCCAGTCACCTTGAGGCGTCACTCCTTGCACACATGCTCACTCTCTATCTCTAGGTGTCATTGTCTGGGTAGGTCAATTGAGTCATCAGCTGATTCACAATCAACCAATAGCACAGCAGCACATCTTCCCTGTCGGCCTATCATCTTACTGCTCCTCATTTTAAATGTGGTTCTTTCTCTGTCGTAGTTCTTTCTTGCTGCTGCCATGCGCCCACCACCTCCCCATCACCACCCGGTCTTTATGGATTCATCAGCCTCATATGCCTCAGCAGTCAGCATCCTCAGAGTCATCAGCCACCACCACCACCAGTGTCTGGACTCCATGGGGGGATTTATCCTGCTGCATCTCAGATGTCCCTCTATCACAAAATATCTCCCTCTGGTGTCCAAGACAACATAGCGGCCTTCCTTCCCATTACACCCGAATCTATGAAGCCAGACCAGGTTGGGCAGTGGCAGTACAATCACAAGATCAGCGATTTAAAACATCATTAGGAAACAGATCAATTATGAACACACTTAAGCTGCTTTATTGATATACTACATATAGTAGGCTTAATTCACACATCATTGTTGTAGGTTGATAATTAACAGAGATAGTCTAAGAGCCAGTTTATCTGATTAGTGCCATTTTGCCATTTGTTATTGTCTGAGACAAACCTCCTAACAAAGTTTCACCAACTAATGACCTTTCTGATTGACTAACGTTTGGTCGACTATCAGGGGGCAGCCCAAATAAAGACACAAGTTAAAAACTGAAAACATGATTCTTTTGTAACTCCACATTCTTTGTGTTTAAGTTTAATCGAGTGTGTTTTGATCCAGACCAACATGTAAGGCTCTTTTAATGATTTAATTCTATTTCAGAGACACAGACACAGCAGCAGGCAGTGACAGTACAATCACAAGTTCAGCATTAAAGAGCAGTTTAAAACAGCATTAGATAACAGATCAATTATGAAACACACGTAGGCTGCTGTGATAATGTTTTTATTATAGTAAGCTTAATTCAAACATGATTCAAACTGGTTTACCAGAGATCATGTAAGAGCCAGTTTATCTGACTAATGCCATATTGCTATTGTCTAGGACAAACTTAGCTCCATGTTGCACACAGTTTTATAGGTTATTTATCATGCAAACAATCCAGTTGAAGCTAAATGTATTATTTTGGTTTGTCTGAGTCCATATAACAACACTGGCTTCATTCTTGCTCTTTTAAAGTGAATCCAGGAAAGAGCCATAGACCTCCACCTCACACAGGGAGAGGTACTCCGGTCTTCCAGGGATAAATATGTTAACATAGCGGCCTTCCATCCCACCATTACAGTTGAATTCACGAGTAGCACCTGATGGGATGCTTGTAATCAGGGCACACCTGGTAGAAGAAGCAGAAATGTCTTAAGTAACTCAGCAAAGCCTGGCTGAAGGAAAAGATAAAGCTCAGTTCAAACCAAAGATTCACAGCCAGAGGAAACTGTTTCAGGGGGGAATTCTGAGAGCCAAGTTATGATGGCAGAATATGCCTAGATTTTAACATCTCTGTGCTTTTTGTGTGTGAATGAATCTATTGTTACTGATAAAAACACTAGTGGTATGTTATTTATCTTATTTACATGACAGCATGTCATTTCTATCTCTACATAGTCGCACATTTACAATTCTCTCTGTATCGCGCACGGCACTAATGGAGCGGAGCCTGTGTTGCGTCCAAGCATTGTCACGTAAAGAACAAATTCCAAAGAATTCTCAGTAGGCGCTCCAGCCAGTGTGCTACAGAGTGACGTTCATTTACCGGAGGCATTTTATATCTGGCTCATTTTTGGAGACTCTGGTGGGGCAAATTAGACTGTGGCAGGCTGCCATAGTCTTGTCAATGTATGGGAAACACTACTTAACTGTAACCCAAGGGTTCTCGTCCACCTTTTTATCCCATTTTTTGAGAGCACATGTGAATGTGGGATGTTTCACATCAGCTTGTAAAGAGGTGAATATCAGAAAGCAATATTTTTTGGGCACAATTAACCAGAAAACAATTACTTTGATTGTTATTAGTTTACACTGAGTGTATTTGTCTATTACAGTGACTTTGATAAGATCAGACCATATTTATGGATGAATTGTGTACAAATGTAGGTTGAAGAAAACACGGTGGAAATCCCACAGAGCAAAAAGGACTCCCAAATATCAATTTCGGTATAGGTTGGACTGTAACATACAATCTGCTGTAACAGAGATTGGAGATGTGGTGTTATGATCAGAGCTTCAACATTTTAATCCCAAATAACTAAAGTATTTGGCACCAAAGAAAAACTGAAATTATTCTTCATTAATGATTTCCATTTAAATTCTAGTTTAAAGACTTTTTTTTAGACTTTGTAATGAACAGGCTGTACACTACCTGGGGTTGTTGTTGCCGTTGTTTTCGAGAGAATCTCCGATGCGGATCTCAGCTCCATTCAGTCGTTCCCAGGAATCAACTCGGTTGGTGACTTTAACAGAAAACACTTTTGTGGGTCCAGGCAGAACCAGTCGCCACCAAGGATTCATGTCGTTGTTTGTGTGACTGCAGGACCCCTTGATCCAGTTACCGTCATGATACCCATCAATGGCATTATATGGAGAGCCAGTTTCAAAGAGTGATGACTGTGAGGCTTTTCCTTGGATTGCCAGGTTTTCTCCTGCAAAAACAATAAAATATCAGCACAGATACAACTTTTTTATGTTTGTTTTCTCTGTTTTGTTTGTTTTGTTTTGTGGAGTTTGAAAGATGTGGGCTTCCCCAATCAGGGAGGGTCAAAGCAGAGACACTATTGTTTTTGGCATCGACCCATAGTGGGCATTATCTTAAACAAATGTAGACCATTTGTAATCTGACTCTGGTAGGTCCTGACTCTAGGGAGATCCAATTCTACTTTCACCACTTGAGTACTTTTTGTATTACTTAATTTTTTTTAGCTGCATGCAGCATGCAGGCCAGCCCTCTAAACACAAAAGTCTGTCCATGAGTGAGTGATAAAGTTACACCATTGGTTTGAAGTGAGTGATGACGTTAGTGTTGGTGTTTTCCCATTGGCTATTACTCTTTTTAAATGAATAGGTGCTGACAGAGCAGTGGACACTGGCGGTAGACGTGCAGATTTCCGGTTGGAGGAAGGTTCCTTCGTGTTCTTCTGCGTCTTCTTCTTCTTGTGTAACCTTGTGTGTATTGGCGGTTAATACAGCATTACTGCCAGCTAGTGGATTAGAAGCACATTACACCTATAATGGGCTTTTATTGGGGAAAAATAGCTCAAATGTGACCCCCAGTGGTAAAATTAGGTATATAATTCGATATATCGGTTTGGTTAGATATTTGGCTTTAAATCAAACCGGTTGGAAAATTTTCAAACCTGCACAAGCCTAACTGGCGGTCCTGTGTTACTGTACTACTGTACTGGGGCATGTTAGCATGGTGGAATTAGCAAGCTAGCCAGCCATTAGGGGGTGTAATGATCCATAGATCTGGATCTATATATTGATTAAATAATCAAAAAGACACTGGTTGAAACTGAAGTGAGTATTACACGTTACAATGTCGAAACAGGTGCTGACACAATGACAACTCTCTGCTATTGAAAATGGCGCCGACGGGATGTTTTACAGACTATTGTTATCAGCAAAACTTGGCTCAAATAGTCGCAGATGGTCCACACCCAGAGCTGAAGAGGGGAGAGTTGCATTATAACAAGCAAAAAAGAACGTGATCAGTGGGAACGGCTCCAGAGAAAGCAGGTCCCTTCTGCTCTATGACTGTGTTTACGTGTACTGTTCTTGATTTTAATATGTATTTACATGAATGTTTTGGTCTGGACCACAACCACGGGACCAGCACTGTAAGGACTCATTGTTGCTCAACATTAGATACATGTATGGACACAGATGGAGCCTTTTATCTGTAGTCTGTGTTCATTTTGTCCCTGTATGTGCACGTCTTTTGAAGTCTCACAGATACAGATGGAACAGAGCAGTACCACTGGAGACCATGGGGCAGTGTAGTGTAGTTCAAGGCTTATAATTTCTTCTACATATTACACATGTATATATCTTCTATATACTTTCTGTCTGATAATAATAAGAGTAATTTTGGAAGTTCTCTGCATCACTAAAATCTGCTGCAGGTCTTGTGGGACCTGCAGGCAGAAAGACCTCTGATCTCTGTTATTAAGCCACTAGTAAGTACCTATATAACACAGATACACAACACTGGTATTGCTCAAACTCTCACCAGTCGGGGTACGGTACCCATAAACCTCCACTTCACAGAGTGTAAGATACTTCTCTGAACCAGGTAGATACACAGTCACGTAACGTCCGTCCACACGACCGCTGACAGTCACAGTGTATGACTCCCCTGCAGGGATTGCAGGAATGGTACCAACCCTGAATAAGCAGCAAAAATGGAGAAAGCAGCTTAATAATGATGTTCAGTATCTATTTTGGAGTTTCCCAGTGATGCAGACAGAAGTGTCCTACTTAAAGAAACAGGTCTGTTGTGACTGGGCTGACTGGACTGAGGTTGAAGGTAAAATGTGGTGATACATAATGAATGGAGCAGATATGAAAATAATTTTAATTTCTCTGGAAGAAACAAAGGTACGAAATAGTAGCTCTACTTACCATTTCTTTCATTTATATATATATGTGATATAAATTTGTTAATACATATCAACATGCACTCACAGTGGGTTAGAGGCACCACTGCCTTCTAAAGAGTTGCCGATGTGAATCTGTGCCCCGTCGATCCTTTCTGCACAGCAGTCTCCTCTGTTGGTGATGACGACGGAGGTGACGGTGTAGGACTCCAGCAGGTCCACTCTCCACCAGGGGTTGATCTGTTGTGCAGTGTGGCTGCATGAACTTAATGCATGATTGGAATCACAGTTTCCATCAATGGCATTGGAGGCAGCCGAAAAAAAATCGGCGTAGCGGGATGACTGAGTTGCTTTTCCATGCAAGGCCACATTTCCTGTTAAAGAAATACACACATTTTTTAGCTCTCAGCTTAACATTGACTAATGCATGCTAATATAGCCTTAAGCCTCTACCCTCAATCAGAGGTGAGGACAGGGTTACAGAGGTTTGTTAGTTTACTATTTTCACAACCACAAATTTCTTGAATTTTCAAACTTGTAGTCTTCAGTCTCATCTGAGTCTTGGGAAGATGGTAAACCAAAAAAGGGTATCGTCATGTTTGGACAACGGGTTTATTTTTGATAGTCACATGCTACAAAAAAGAAGCTACAAACGTGATTATTTCAATGCCTGAACATTGTTGTGCAAAAACATAATTACCAACAATGCAATGTCTTGTAACTCTATGGGTTTTCAAGTAAAAAAAAATACAACTTGTGTTTTCTTTTGTAACTGTACATTTTTCCTGCTCCACACTCCAAGCTAGTGGTGTTCTCTTATCTGTAGGAACAGTCTAACACATCTAACTGGCCTGTGTGAAATACTATGATAATACAATAATTGTTGTCATATTAAACTATAAATGTTATGAAGCATATATAAACATATTTTAACCATAAAATCTAAACAAGTTTTGGACCTTGTCCACATTAGTTTTGGGATCGGCTGCAGACTGACTTGGCAGAGATGGCTGCCATCTTGTTTTTATGTGGATTAGTGTGTTGTGCTCTTGCTACCACTACAAGGCACAGAAAAGTGTCCACAGACGAGGACAAAAGGTTTAACAAACCCAAAATGTAATGTCCTCATGTGAGGACAAAGGATTGCAGGAGGTTGTTGTGATTTGTGTGACATTTTGTCTGAACTTTGTACTTTTGTATTTGTTTGTTGCTACGTTTTTTTTCTTTCTTTTTTTTTTTTTACTTTAGTAATGATTTGATTTCTAATAATCAACGTTTTTTGTACTGTCACAACCTGCAGATGAATATTATATCACATTGCTGAAATAAATTAGAACTATAAAAAAAAAAACAGCCGGCAGTAGGGGTGGGTAAAAATATCGATTCATCAATGCATTGCAATATATTTTTTCACAATTCAATATCGATTCAGAAAAGCCTCTGAATCTATTCAAGCCCCTAACCAGTAGGGGGCGCGGTGAGCAACACCTCCGCGTGATTCGCGTTGTACGGACGGAAGCCGCACTGTACACAACAACATGGCAAGCAACGAAGCTAGTAGCAGCAGCATTAAGTCGGTGCCTTCAACTTTAAAATCAGACGTTTGGGGTCACTTTGGATTTAAATGTAAACCCGGAACAACACAGGTAACAGACAAGAGTCAAGTCGTGTGTAAGCTGTGCCAGGCAGTACTAAAATACTGCAATAATACCACGAACCTGCGCAACCACCTCAGCCGACACTATGCTGACGTTCTGCAGCAACCTGTGGCTAATGTTAAACCAAAACAGATGCAACTCGACATATCCTTTCTGTGCAAACTGCCGCCAAGCTCTGCCCGTGCACAGAAGATAACGGAGTCTGTGGCTATCTTCATATGCAAGGACCTATGACCGTACGTGTCGTGGAAAACGCAGGTTTTCAGAAGATGCTACACGCACTCGAACCACGATACGCCATACCAACACGCAAACATATGACTTAAGTCGCCGTCCCGAAGGTGTACACGGAGGTAAAGACAGCGGTTTTGGAGTCGTTGAAGTCGGCAGAGAGAGTGGCTCTTACATGTGATGGTTGGACTTCCAGAGCGACTGACCCCTACGTAACGAGTGGGCATTACTGTCAAATGTTCTGCAGACCAGAGCCCTGCACGAAAGCCATACAGGGAGCAATATAGCAAACTTGTTGACAGAGGCAATAAATGAATGGGGATTAACGGAGAAAGTACCGGCAGTTGTCACCGATAATGCCGCCAACATACTACTTGCTGTCAGTCTCACTGAGTCATTGCATGTGGGCTGCTTTGCCCACATACTCAATTTGGCTTCCCAGGCTGCTCTTAAAATCCCTGCAGTCGCACGGCTTCTCGGCAGAGTGAGGCGCATTTCCACGTTTTTTCATCGCAGCACCTTAGCCAGTCATGCACTCAAGAAGAAACAGATGTTGCTGGACCTCCCACTACACAAATTAGTGACTGATGTACCAACGCGTTGGAACAGTGCATTAGACATGCTGGAAAGATTTTTGGAGCAACAACCAGCCATCTCCGCTGAACTACTTGCCCCTGAAGTACGAAAACAGGAAAAAGATCTGTGCACCCTTACAGAGGCAGACATAATAGCAGCAGAGGATGTTGCACAGGCTCTGAAGCCACTGAAGAAAGCTATCTTGGTGATGTCTCAGGAAGGTACCCCAACTCTGTCTGTCATCGCACCCTTGAGAGCAAGACTTCTGGAGGAGATGCAACCAGCCCCCAATGACTCCGTGATGGTGAAGGAGATGAAGTCTGCTGTGCGCCAGGATCTCCAGAAAAGGTATTTATTGTTCTACACCATCATGACATTGTAAGGCGCATTTTATTCACGTAGTTGTTTTTTTTACTATACACTATCAACGCCTTTTTATAATAAATACATGACCATGAGGAAAAAGCTGTATTGTATTGTGAATTAATTTTATTATTTTTATTTCAAGATACATGGGCCTGAAGGACGAACTCTCCTTAGCATCAGCTCTGGACCCACGCTTCAAGGTACTGCCTTTTCTGTCTGATGATGAGCGTGAAGAAATCTTTGCACGTCTCATCACTATCACTGAGGCATTGGCAACTGACAATAGTTCTGTAAGTACAAATGTATATTGAATGAAGATGCAGACTGTGTGCACATAATATTATTGTTGTGTTGTCTTATGGTATGCAGTAAGACCTGGAATTATTTGAACACTGGCACTTTTTTATAACTCCCCACAATGGATTTGAAACTAATTGTATAACTATAAAATTATAAAGGTATTCTTTATTAATGTGATTCATTTACTTTTTCAGCAGAGTGGACCAATAAATGCAGCATACAGTGAGGCAGGTGAGGTGCTGGAGCAGCAGGCAGAGCCAGCTGATGACCCTGGACCCCCATCAAAGAAATCAAGGGACTCTTGTGCTCTGGCTGATCTCCTGGGGAACACATATACTCCAGTAGCAGTGTCCAGAATCGCAAATGACAAGGCATTAGATGAGGTGATGAGGTACAAAGAGGTAAAACCACTGCCACTCTCCACCAATCCACTCAACTGGTGGAAGGAACATGAGGGGGAATACCCCCTTTTGTCATGCCAAGCTAAAAGATACCTCTGTATCCCAGGAACTAGTGTACCAGCTGAGAGGATCTTCTCAACAGCTGGTGACATTGTCACAGCCCAGAGATTTGCACTGAAGCCTGAACATGTAGACCAGCTGATTTTCTTAAACAAAAATCTACATGTGCACATCTAGTATGTAACCAGAAATGAAGGCACTTAGTTCTGATGTGTTATTGTTCAATAATGTTATTTGAGTTATATCACAGTTTCAAGAGGAAAGTATAAGTATAATTTAAGTTTACATGCACTTTACTGTAGTTTAATACAGTACTGTTGTGTTTTTTGTACTCCATACTCAGCATAAGTAGTATTATTGTTAGTGATGGCCGAATTAAGCCTCATGAATCATTTTCTTTATTTTCTGAGCCCACTAGATGGTGCTCTTGGTTTAAAGAGAGAGGCTAAATCTAAAAGAATGGAAATCTGGTTTTTGTTGGGGAAAAAAAAAAGCGCCATCTAGTGGGCTCAGAAAATAAAGAAAATGATTCATGAGGCTACATTCGGCCATCACTAATTATTGTGTTAATGCTTTGTATTCAGATGTTTTATTGCTCAGAATTGTTGTGTGAGTTACAACACAATTGCCAAGAGAAAAGAAATTCAATTTAAGTTTACATGCACTTTAGTTTTAGTACAGTACTGTCATATTTTTTACTTTTGTACTCCATATTCAGCAGCACACATACTATTGTGCTAATTCTTTATTGTCAGATGTTTTTGCTAAAAAAAATGTTATGAGTTATACCATGGCTGTTCATATGGGCATGAAAATAAACAAATAATTATTTTGAAATTATCAACAGGTGCTCTAATGAATTATTTGTGTATTTCTACTTATTACTGAATCGATATCGAAGTGTTTAAATCAATATCGAATCGAATTGTTACCTAAAGAATCGAAATCGAATCGAATCGTGAGGTTCTTTACAATACCCAGCCCTAGCCGGCAGTACCTTTACATTCATTTCACATGGAACAGTTTGTAACATGTATGATCTGCTATTGACCTGTAGAGGTGCTGATAGGTGTTTCCCCCAGCTTCCAGTCTTGCTTAGCTAGATATTCAAGCCGCAGTGTGTGTAAAAAAAATCTGGAAGAAAGTTCATGTAAGTAGGCTGGTGCTTGTTATGGTTGCTTAGCAACACTCTTCAAAGTTGGCACAATGATGTGGCATGTTATGGCTGAAATAATAAGAATAATAAGAATGAAGAGTTGAATAACAAGTGTGGCCGCTGAAGCATCCACATTAACTAGAAAAAGCAATTCCTGCAGAAAGTGCGTGTGGATGCGGTTCGCTTCAATGGCGTCTGAGTTCTCTTGAAGTCCTTACATATGTGCAAAAATGCTGAGTCACTGCTCTGAGTCCGTTTAGAGGGCTGAAAAGGACCAAGTGTGAAAACACCCTAAGAGGACAGAGTTTGGTTCATTTAGAAAGGACAATCTGTGAAAACACCCTTAGAGGACTAATCACAGAGGGAATAAAAGATTTCGAATAGCAGTTAGCCTCACAAGTAGATAAAATGTCACGACGCCCTGATGGCAACAGAGAAAATTCGCCTGCAAGAACATGTCCAGAGGAAGTTACAATATTTGTCGCTTTCTGGAGGATTTGTTGATTACAAAACAGGTGAAGTCGCTTTATGTCACTCGAGTGATCGTCAAGCAGATTTTAAGAGTGCTATTTCGACTGTTTATGTCTGTCAGTGTGAGGCTGTACAACCAGCAGATGATGATTCAAATGAAAAACACAGTAGGCTCTCAATCAAAGACTGATAAAAATGGCAGAGGGTGACAGGACTGACGGAAAAGGAATTTAATTTACAGAGAAGGTGAATGCTCTGTTGCTCTCCCTTTACAATAACTGCAGTGTTTACATAAAACTTAAGATGCTCATAGAAAAAAAATGTGTAGAGTAATATTGTATGTTAGCCATAATTTACATACATAAATGACAGCACCAGATGTGTGCTTTGAGAAAGGTATGCAACTACCTCTGGTGCTGTTTTATATTCCTACATTATACTTACTATAAGCAGCAGCTGAGCACGTCCCCAAGAGAAGCAGCAAAAGAGAAATCACTCTGTGCTTCATTATTCTGCTTGAGATAGATGAGAGAGAGAACTGTTAATAGAATGAAATGGCACTATTTGATGAAGACCCTGAAGAACAACACAAGATGAAAGAAAGATGACAGATCTTTGTTCAAATGATCTTGAATGAAAAATTGCACTTTTTGTTGTTGTTTAAAACCTTTTTTGCATTGTCACTCTTGGCCGCACAGAGTAAAGCCATGCAACGCTGACTTGTTTCTCCATTGTCATTGTTCCAGATTAGAAGTTGTCTGAAGTCGCTGCTCGAAATCTCAACATTTCCTTATTTTCTATATATTATATTCTTATTTTTCACAAAATAACAGGGGACTTTTATTGTTAAGAATCTACAGGAAATGAAATGTGTTTATCACTGAATTGGTGGAACTTTGTTAGCAGCTTTTCTTCAAGAAAGACAAAGTCTAATAGTCTAATAATATAGCAGGGAGGAAAGTGAGAGCAGAAACAGCCACAGTGAGATGTTGATGAAGAGCTGAAGACAACAGACCCTTACTTCACCTCTGCAAACAGCTCACCTGTAACAGGTAACCTTCTTTTATCTTAACAGCTCAGTGTTGATGTAAGGTGTGCAGAATGCAGATATAATTTCACTGGAGATGTATCAATATTAGTAAGAACTAGGTAATTTCGGTCAATACCTTTAAGTGTCAAGTACCAATACCCAGCCCTAGTTTAGAGAAAACATGTCCTTCAACACGAAAATGAAGCAAGACAGTGTTCACTGTTTTAGAATTGAACATACCCCTGCTCTTAAAATTTACCTCTGTACTTCGTTCTAAGTGTGAGTGAAATGTGTGCAACATTTTGGTAACATTTAATAATAGAGTCAATGATTAGTGTCATTTTTTTTTTACAAATAAAATACTTCTTACTGTAAGTACAGTGGAAGAAAACACACAAGGGAGGAACTGTTGGACTTTTTAAAAAAGTGTTAGCAGTAGTTTTTTCATTTACCTCAAAGTTGGCTCTTCTGAGATTTTAAATGTAATTCTTGATGGTTTGATGAATATAAGCCCTCATGAGTGAAACAGAAGACAAATAATTCATAATGATAATGAATAGATTAAATAAATAAAGTGAGAGAAATGTGGAGTGAAATGCTTACCCTGGTTCCTGATCCTTCACTCTTGGTAGCCTCTTCCAGACATGTGGTAAAATCCCTTAAAAACCGAGCTTTTATTGTAAAATCTTGCCCTCTCAGTCAATCATTCATAAATATTACATTCATCAAGGATCCAATCACGTCCCATTATGGAGTGTACGCCCATGCACTCCTCCTCAGTTCATCAGGGTTCCAGTGGTTATCAAAGGATACACCATGAAATATTCCCCAAAGGTCATTTAATACACACACATCTCACAGAGAGACGAGTGTTCTGATCCAGTAGTATCAGCTCAGTTCAGAGGGCTTTACTGTTGAGACTGATCAGAGTGTGTCTGAGAGGGGGCATTTTGCCTCAACACCAACTGACGAAGGGGACTCCTCTCTGGGCTCAGGTCTTGGGCTGTCAATATTTTCTCTGGGGGCACTTTTGAAAAGTCATGACATTAGTTTTCGTCATATTTACTGCCCAGTTCAGACAGTACTTTTCCACTATATCCAGCTGTTGCTGTAGTTCTTGTTCAGTAGGAGACAGTGGAACATGATAAAAATGTGTAATAAAAATCCTTACAAAGTGCTTCACAACACAATAAAATACATTATACAACAGCTAGTTTAGATAAAGCAATTTGATTGGACAGGAGGCATTCATGAGTGCTGATGCACAGTATAAGGGACCGTACACATGCTGTGTCTTTAACCAGCCTTCAAGAGTGCAGCAGATTGTATCTGAGGTTGTTAAGCAACCTTAACAAGCAACTGTATAACCTACTTACGTGAAATCCTGAGTGCAGAACTGATCTTCTTCCAGGTGCTGTTTTTAAGTGTGTATTAGGCCAAAAATATTGTCTATGTGACAGATGTAAAAATCTGGCAGCTATTCACTAAAATGATCAACTTCTTATATCTTATATCATATTTATCACAGACTGATATTTATGGAAGAAGGGAAAGATATCTGTCGGCTATGATTGGTTGTTCCTCGACACATGTAATGAGGTGTGCGCTGCTGCATATGGCGTGACGCTTACAAATGCATGCGTAATTGTGCTTTGCTGTTGTTTTATGGGGCTCTGGTGGCTTTCAGTTGTCTCTTTGTCTCTAATGTTACTTGGCTTGGCTTTCTCTCGCATGCATTCTTCGTACTTTTCTCTGTGCTGTCTCAAGTGTTGATATAGATTGGTCATGTTGCCGCAGGACGTGGCAACTTTAACTTTTTAAGTTTTACACAGCACGTCTTTCTGTTCAACATCGCCGTCCCTGAATCCAAAGTATCGCCACATAATAGACTTTGGGTTTTTTTCCGCCACCAACTCTGCCTTTTCTTGGCCGTGCTCATGCTCTTCTTCCGCGTCTATGTTGGTCACTGCTACACGCCAGGTAGTCACGTGACCACACATGCTGCACACACCAGGGCCCTATTTCAGTAAGCGGGCTCAGTAAACTCTGAGCCTAATCCCGATCTCCGGGTTGACTGAGCCTGAGCTGAGAAACTTTGAGTTTTCCAGAACAGCTGATCAGAATCAGTTCAATCAACTCTGAGTATATTCAGCCTGAGGAACGCAATTTCACGGCGAGCACCACATGCCATCATCAGTAGAGTGCAGATAACATGATTTTCAGTGGCAGAAAGCAGAAAGACACTTGCTTCATCCCAACTGAATCAGAGATTTTAATGACCGCGAATGAAGACATGAAAAAAAAAAATCTAATACGTCAGCTGCAGCAAAACAGCGTGAGGTGTGATGGGAAAAGACTGCAGAGTGTTAATAGGTAATGTGAAGTGACGTTTGTAATGTGATGAGTTAATATGTGTCTAAAATACAGAAAATATAGAAACATTTTTACATCACAACAGTGTTCATATATTTTAATATAATTTGATAAATAAATCCTCCTATTCAGCTGTAATCTGATGGAGCTGATGGGGCACTGACAAACCTGCAGTTCTGTGGGATTCCTCTTTTTTTCCGAAGATTATTTCTTGGGCTTTTGTTGCCTTTAATGGCAAAACAGCATAACGTTAAGAGGAGAAGGGGAATGACATGCGCAGGAAGGCTGCAGGCTGGGCTTGAACCCACGGCTGCTGCATCAAGGCCTGCAAGTCAAATCACGGAGCCTCCGCTCCATCTGCTAAGCCACCGTTACTCCTTTGTAAATACTTTGATAATCGATCCTGGTTTATGCCCAGGGAAAACCACAAAAATGGGCAAAAGTCTTTTCAGAGCCAGAGCCTCTTTTCTTATGGCCTGACAAACCGCTGTCCTGCTGATGTGTTCAGTGTCCCTGATGTTATAAAGAAAACTGCCGCTGCAGAAGACTCAAAAGGCAATGCATAAAATTTGCTCCGATGATAATTTAAATCCACAATGTGTAGTATTTGATATAATGTGGGTGCAACAGATTGTTAGATAAATGATAGAGTGTGAAGTGAAATTGTATCTTTCATACAGACACTCCTCTGGGGAGAAATCCAAATGGAGTCTAATCGCCTTCTCCTTAAGCAGCAGCCTCTGAATAAACCGTGTTCAAATGTCCACGACTTCATTCAAAAAGGACACGCCATGTTTCTCCTTCCTGCAACACGCTCAGCCTCAGGCTTAGATGAAGCAAACCTGCTAGCCAGCAGCATTGCTTCACGGCCTAAGTTGCCATAGTAACTGACTCAGGAAAACTCAGAGTTTCCCTCATCTCAGGCTCAACATACTCAGTGTTCACAAATCCTGCTTTCTGAAATACAGTAGGGCCCAGGATAACTTGTGGGCGCAATGTCTACAAACTCCACAGGCAGTCACGTTCACAGTCACACACGTTAAAGGACCTATATGTAAGAAATCTAAAGCAAATAGTCATAAAATCATCCTAATATGTCACAGAGACTAAGGAATAATGTTCATATAACATACTGATCTCACTGACAACAATAGAACAGCCAGAATATTCGCATTTAAAAAAAGATTTTGCGGTCCGCAAATCATGTTTATGTTTTGAATTTGTGTTTTGGCCTGTTGCGCCACCCACCGCCGTCTACCAGTCACGCAGTCAGTAGAGTCTCAGGTTCTCCTCAGCTGTAACCCGGCAGCAGCGTTAGCAGCAGAGAAGCCGGACTTGCTCGAACGGTCCGCTGGAAAACCGAAGATCAAGGACGCGGCGAGGCAGCCCTGCCACGGCAGCCGCCCGTGGGCAAACAAATCAGTCTCCAGCGTGCCGCTGTCCAGCAACCTCGAATCTGCAGGCGAGGGGTGGTGTTGTATAAAGTAGCCGAGGGGCTCGCAGACTTTTCCTCTACTCATACAAAGCCAAGGACAGCAGCAACATGTTATTTCGGATATTCAATTTTTCTTTTTTGCAATCCTAAATATTCTTGTTAAATTTTTTTTAAAGGGTGTACTTGCATCATTATGCTTTTTTTTATAATTATATAAGTTTAAAAAATGGTCTAAACACAGCACTATACAGGATATGTTAACACTGCATTTCTAAAATAAAAATACAAGTAAAAACAATAAATAAAATACTTGTAAAAAGTCTGACACTTACATCTAGGGATGTGTCACAAGTCAGAAAGTTGATAGTCATGGAATAGGAGTTTGCAAAGACTGAGGATTTTTCAAGGGTTACTACTTGCAAGACTGTTAGCTTCAAAATGACAAAAGTGAAAATAATAAAAGTTGCAGTCCGTGAAGTCCTCAGCTAGTATGCTATGCTATAGTTAAGATAGCTAACCACTCAATCCCTATCAAGGCGACTTGTAAGCTAACGTTAACTTAGCAACTGCTATTAGCCTAAAAGCTAACCGAACGTTTCCACGTCAGACTGCTAGTTTAAAAATCATATATCGTGTTATCATTACTGAATAAAGAGTAACATTATGAGGTAAACTGTGGGGCTGATAAACTGGTAGCCTACCCGCATGCACCTCCGGGTCTCTGTCCTCTGTGTCGGTGTTACTCTCGGCCGTTGGGCGGCCACCTCCGCGTCGGTGTCGGGCTCCGGGGCACAGATCCCGGGAGTGCGGCAGCTGAACATGTGGCTGTCCCAGCCGGCCTCAGTGTCAGGTTGATACTCAGGTACTCTTCGATGCTGCTGGTCTGGTTCAAGTCGAGGCGGGGCAGCTGGAGTGGTGATGTTAATGGCTGCTGCTGAGTAACGGTTAACGGTTACTGACCTCCTTCTTGCTAGCAGTGTTAGCATCGTCCTCGCCATGTTCGTCGCCCATGAGGAGACTAATGAAAAAAAGTCAGACCGTCGGTATGTTTTCCAGAAGTACAATATCACTGCTGTACTTTTATTTTTAGCCCGTCGCTTTGCTACTTTATCCATGTTTCCTTTTTTTTTTCCTGCTACGCCATTTCGTGCTCGCCTTCCCACCGTTTCCGCTCTTCAAAGTCCTACGGTCACCTGACTCATCGTCACCAAATCAAAATTTTTTGCTTAATTAACGTTACAAATAAAGTAACTCTCAATTGGTTAAACGGACGCACACAATTATACATATATATATTTTGAATTGGTTAAAGCAAAAAAAAAAAAAAAAAGCAAAGACAGGAGCAGTCCTCAGTTTGTGGGGTTTTTGGAAACCATCGCGCACTTCATAATCCGTGGGTTCGCTCGCGCATGCTCAGACCTGCTCCTTTTCTTTTTTTGAATGATCTTCATTGTAAACGCTTCCTGTGAGCAGAAACACACAGTGAACATAAGCACTGAAAACATTAAAGGACAACAGCAAAACAAATGTGACATAAATTATTATTACGCTATGGACATTTTTTCTGTGTCCTTTAATAAAGACATTATTATTATTATTGTTATTATCAATAAAGTTAAATAAAGCCGTGTGTGGCTTGTAAAAGATTCACTTGAGGATTCTGTAGATAGTGCATACATTTATCACCTCCATAGCTTTTTTGATTTGTGAGGAAGAGATCGTTGACAACTACTGAACCATTTCCTTCATAAATAAATTTAAAAAATAGGTTTTTGGTTTGTAAATGTGCATTTGTGAATGTGAAATTTGTCGATTAGTAAAATTAGAAGGAAAAAGCACTAATATCTTCAGTCATCATAACACCCAAATACAAGATTTCTGCAGTAAATGCTCAAATCTGAGACAAAGTTCCACATTTTTGTCGACAAAGTTGAAAAATCCCGCAGTTCCCTTTTAAGAAGGAAAATAATGGTCTGATTTCTATTTTTTCAAACGTACATTGAAGACAAAAAAGCAGTGGTTCTGATGGCAAATATTTTATTTTTTAAAATACAGACAAAATAGACAAATATTATAAAAGACATCTGATACACACTTAGGCCTGCGACAGGAATAAACTATTTATGTCCAAGTGTTTTGAGAAATGTGACGACAGCCCCACTCCTTAAAAACGGGCACTTGACTCAACAAGATAACTTCTACACCATGAAACCCCAGTCTTCATACGAGTAGCATACAAACAAACAGCTCTGAAATCAGATGGACCAAATGTCACAGGTTAAATGTGCACCATATGATTTGTTCAACCGCTCGCTCCGGCACTTTTAATCTCACCACAGCAGGACTTTGATCTAATTCTGGTGCCTGCTCCTTGAAATCACCTGCACTGAGGTGTGTTGTACCAAAATGATTTCAACCTGTTACAAGTTCATACACAAAAAAAAAAGCATTAAAGCTGAGAGACACTTGCAGCCTTTTTAAGAAATGAAAAACCCATCACAGAATATTTGAGAAGTAGTTACCAATAATTGTGAAGGACATGCCATCATGTTGGAGGAGTAAACATGTAACAGAAACCGCTCAATATCTGTGTGGTCGCTCCTTAAATTCTCACCGTTGCTACTCCTCCATCATGACGACTCCTCCCTCTTATAGGAATCGTTCCAATACAAATACACTTATTTCCTTTCTTGACAAACATTAGATGGGAAGATCGATACCACTCTCATATCTGTCCATTAAATGTGAAGCTAAGGGCAGCAGGCCCCTAGCTTAGCTTAGCATAAAGACTGGAATCAAGGGGAAACAGCTAGCCTGACTCACCACAACAGTAACAAAATCTGCCTACAAGATCATTAATTAACATATTTATTTCTCATTTGTTTAATTGGTCCAAAAATCAAAGTAAAAATAGAAATTGTGGTTTTACTGAACTGGACTATTTCTTATAGACCCTTTTATTGTTGGTAAACAGGATGATGTTTTTTGGTGGCGGGGCTTAGCTGGAGGCAAAACAATTCTCCAAAGACATTAGCTATTGCTTCACTGTTTGTTAATTCATGTAGAAATATAACGCTCCTTTTCTTCGACCAACAGGGCTCTCATTTTAGTGTAGAGCATTACACTGAATTTACGAAAGCACCATGTGAGGTCACTCACTCTCTAAGCCATGCTAACATTCATATTTACCATAAAGACCGGACAGTTTTATCGATCTTCTCGTCTAACGCGCAGCAAGAACGCATGTAAGTGTATTTCCTAAAATACTGAACGGTCATTGATGCATCCAGAAACCAGAAACCTGAAGAAACCTACGACTGCTACCATTTACATAAAATCCACTGCTACAAATAGTTTGGGTTGACTGTTACAGAAGTCACAAACTGACGGTTCTCCATCACTAAAAACACATCTGTCATGTGCTACAGTACCCCAAATATGCAGCTTTAATAACAAGACTTCCTTTGGCAATAAACAATAATTGAAGGAACAAAAAGAACCTTTTAAAGGCTGTACATTGGTATTTTACAAAACAACTGTTTGGGTATTTACAAAAAGAAAGTTACAGAGCACAGTTAGAGAAGGTCTAAAAAGCCTTTTTTCTGCCACTTTATAACTGAATAAAGAAGAAAAGCTTTTCTACAATGTGAAATTTTGTTAAAATTCTTGAGTGGATTCCATCTGGACACTGAGGCTGAATGATATGTATTAAAAAGATTTTTAAAAGCTTCCAAACACAAGAACAGAATTTCCCCCTGTGATTCCAAAAACTCTTAAAACACCGCTGGCTTCTAAAGAAAACATCTCCACACCTTGAAGTTTGCATAAAAAATACCCACGCAAATAAATTATAAAAATAGTGTACTAGTGAAAAATCTTTTCAGAGATCAACACTGTGCATAACAATAGAAGAGTCAGCTTTTGTCAAGTTTGCAAAGGGTATTGCTTCACAGTATGTGGACATCATCGATTGGTCCTGCCAGACAAAATGTACTTCTTAAGCCAAAGTCAAAGAAAATGAATTTGACACAGTTAGAAACAATACTGATGTATGAACAGCATCTGTTTGAGGACGATGTTTCTTAAACTAAAGATTCTATATAACAGAACCAAAGCAACAAATTAAATGAAGAGCTACGAAACCTTTTGGCTTTCACTTGGGCACCAACAGGAACGAGATGGGAACGTTGCTGGATAACAAAGATGCAGCAGTAAGGATGATTGGCAAAATGTGGGGAACAGGGAGTTCCTTTAATACTGAGAACCGTAAGCACACCAAGAGTGGAGACTCATCGCAAACTGTTTTGGCATGTCCACCGCTCAACGAATCAGAGCACTGCAAATAAGGTGAGCTATGGGGGTTTGAGTAAAAAGCAGCAATGGCAGTGACTGATCAAAACCTGTAAAAAACAAACAAAAAAAAATAGTGGAAAGAACAACAAGGTTGTTGCTGAACCAGTCCGTCCTGCTGTGTTATCTGAGATCTTTAGTGGCTTTGGGGACTTTGAGAACTTTGTAAATGTCATTGGAAAAGACTGTGGTGAAGTGGGGTCGTGAGCTCCTGGACATGTGGGTGCAGAAGGGGACTTTACCAACATTATGGGGATCCTCAATATCCCAGATCTCTGGCATGCTGCACCCAGGCCTGAGCGAAGACAGAGAGGAAACCAGGAATAATCAGAAACTATTTGCATCTCAATTTAATCAACATCTTCTAGTTTGCTTTTTGTAGCAAACTCAGGATAAAGCAACTGTTATACACCCAAAATCAAAACGTGAAAGAAAACGACCCCCCGCCCCCCCACGAGAGGGCACTCATAGTGTTGAAGTACCTGGTTCGCCTGGTGCACCAGGAGTCCTCCAGGACGAAGAAGTCCACCCCCAGCTTCATCAGGTTCCCCTTTACTGTTTCTCCAGACATGCGGCTGTACATGGAGTAGACCAGCTTAGTTCTCTCCCTGCCAGGAAATACAACATGACAATGTATGTTATACACCATGTGTCCATGAAGAAACATGAGCAGCTTGTTCCTCTGAGGGCATTAAGCCCTCACTACTACTAGCCCTCATTTCCATCATTACAAGTTAACGTTCCACCTTAAAAGTCACCGGCAGTCGGCCCAGTGAATGAAGTTATTTTTTCTCAGACTCCAGCTGCTGTGAGAGGCAGCAAAACATCCTTTCATTTTATAGTTACAGTTTACTAATAAAACTCTCCACAGTATGAACAGTGGTTACATGAGCCTCAAAACCAGACACAACTCAGCCCTGAGCAGAGTGACCGTCCTCTACTGACCAATCAGACTGCAGTGTTCACAGCTCCACCTTTTAGTACCAGATCTGTGTGCTAGGTACCCCAACAGAGGGGGGACCAAACATGGGGACGGTACGGAACGCTTCCATTGGTACCATCCACAACTTTTCAAAATGGAGACAGAAAAAAAGCATACCGAACTGAACTGAACCGAACTGAACAGTACTGCTTGGTGGAAAGGGAGGAAGTCATCCAAACTGAACTGACACAACTGTTTTCCAACAATATCGGCCAACAATTTTGACACAATGATTATGAAACTTTAAATGTAAATAAGATTAGACAATCAACTGATAAAACCCACAAAGTTACGGGAAATAAGGACTAAATCAAACACAAAGTTTCTACATTCAGACATTGACACTGCAAATATTTGGATGATGCCCTGTCTGCTGTTCCGGAAAATGAGTCATCACAGGAAGATTTTTAATGATCCTGTAAATCACACTTTATTGAAACGCACAAAAAAATCCCAAAAAACTAGAATTACTATTATAATAATAATTATTATTATTCACATGCATCTTTCCCCCGGCAGCACAGAAGATCTATACAATCAGCACATTTTAAAGACCCAAGATTAGTGTCGCCAGTTCAGTATCTGACCAAATGTCTCCCCTTCTGTTCCTGAGATATAACCTTGAATAATGTCCAGAAAAGTGTTTTTGCAGAACATTATGATGTCACAGTGAAGTTGACCTTTGACTACCGAACTCTAATCAGTTCATCGCTGAGTCCAAGTGGACATTTGTGCCAAATTTGAAGAAATTGCCTTGAGGAGTTCTTGAGATATTGTGTTCACAAGGATGGGACAGACAACCCGAAAGCATGTCTCTGGCCACGGCTATTGCTGGTGCAGAGGCATAAACAGTTGGACTGGAAGTTACCGGCTAAGTTACCCCCAGGAACAACCTGTATTTGCACTGGTATCTAAACATTAAGGAAACTGATTGCTCTCTC